TTGTGCACTGGATACCTGCTGTTGCCCACAGTAGTCCAACACTCCTGTTAGACCTGGCCTGTGGAGGTGTCCTGTGATCTGTTACACTCTTTCAACAGGAAATGAGAGAGGAAGAGGCACTGAAACTATCTCAGGATCGGAGTTCAGGCCTGAGGCTGCAGTGCCCAGTCTCCAGTAGAGTTGGCTCACTGTGTCTACCAGCTTGGAAGACTCAACCAACCAGGGGAAAGTTTTTAGTTAAAAAAAACCAAACCAAACCAAACCAAAACAGTGAACTGGGGAAATGGCTGAGTCGGAAAACTGTATGCTGTGTAAGCATGAGGACCTGAGTTGATCCCTATAGCCCACATATAAGCAACCACATGCTTGTAATCCCAGCACTGGAGAAGCAGAGGCAGGCAAATAATCCTTGGGGACTCACTGGTCAACCAGAAGTGTCAGGTAAAGTGAGAGGCTCTGTTTCAAAAAATGTTTGACAGTTTCCTAAGGAATGATGCTCAAGACGGATCTCTGGCCTCCACGTGTACACAAGCTCATGGAGGCTGAGGCAGCAGGAATGACCCAAGTTCAAGGCCAGCTTGTGCCACATGCAGTGTCCAGACCATCCTGGGGTCCAACGTGAGACCCTGTCTCAAAAACACAAAGAAAAAAATTGTACCTGTACTGAAGATGTACTTATCTTTTTCTTATTATTTCCTGAGCAATACAGTGTAATAGCTATTTATGCTATTACATTAGCCACATAGCCATTTGTAGATTATTTCAAATATATAGGAGGAAATGTAAAGGTTGTATTCAGATATTATGTTATTCCACGTAAGGAATTTACATGTCCATAGATTTTGGTAACTTTGGGAACCTATCCCCTTGCAGATACCGAAAGACAATTTTACTGAACTTGAACATGGAACTCAGAGGTCTCCAGATAACACATCAAGAGGTCTTCACTGGAAGACAACAGAGTTAAGCAGTGTACAGTGACACCAAATAGAAATGTTTCCAACACCCACTTACATTTCCTGAGATATTTACTTTAAATAAGCGACAAGTACAGTTCCTTTGGTTTAAATAACCCAAGCGTTTGCAACTCCCAGGCCACTCAAAGGTACAGATGATGAAGTAATTGCTGGAATTATTAAGGTTTCTTTGTTTCTCATGTGACCACTTGATACAAGTCAGAGAGATAGGCTAACAATAGCACAGCTTGCGTCATGCTTGTTACTAATATGACTGCCAATCAATCCTGACATAGGAGCTTGGCAGACTACCCCAAACCCAGTATTTTATCACTTCAGGGGGCCAGCACTTGGACATTTCCTTGACATTTTATACTAATCAATCAACTTTCCTTTTTTAAAGCAAATCCTTTCACAGCAGCTACCCATGCACCCGTGATCACCAGACCCTGGGCCACCCACTCCTCAGGCAGATCTGCTGTAGTTCATCAATAATTATGCTTCCAGGCAGACTTCTGAAAAATGTTTATTCGTATTTCTTCCCTTCCAAGGGGGAAATCTATCTCAAATGCTAAGACAGAGTCTCCAGTCCCTGAGAGTCTTCTCGTGTTATTGTATATTTAAAAATATTACAAGAGGGCTCATCTCATGGGAAGTGAACTTTAAGGCTGCCAAACTCTTTGACTGTCTTCAGATCTGTTACCAATAGATCATAAGTTGGCTTAAGTCAGTTCTATTCTGAGTCGGGACACAGGCAGCGAGGACAAACGCCATTCCAAGATAATTCTAGGATCCTCCCCCAATGGTAATTCATCTACAGCTGGGCAGGCAGGCAGAGGAAAGACAAGGCAGAAAATGAGTCTCCTGAGATCCCTACACCGAGCAAAAGCCCTAAATCAGCCAGAGGGACCACGTTCTCAAGGTGAAGGCCCTTTACTTGTCACTGTCACCTCCTTACCAATCTATGGCCTCAAATGATCCTTCAGCCATTCTTTGAATAGGCCATTCTAAAGAGGTCATCAAGCAGGAAAAAAATTCACTGGCAAACTTTCAGTCCTCCTCTGCCCTGTGTTCTAGACCTGAAGCCAGAGGCAGCCCAGAGTGAGGTATAAGCTTTGTCTCTCTCTCTCTCTCTCTCTCTCTCTCTCTCTCTCTCATCTCTGTCTTTTTGAGACAGGGTCTCTCTGTAGACCCAGCTTAGCCTTGAACTCACAGATCCACCTGCCTCTGCCTTCCAAGTGCTGGGATTAAAGGCCTGTGTGCCATCACAACCAGTTCGTCTCTTCATTCTTATCACGGACCTTCAGGAGGAACTAAGGCAGCCTCTCCCTTCCTCTTTTCTTATACTCTACTTCCTCCTCACCATCCATTCCTAAAGTAAAGAGAGCCTTGGTTGTCCAAGATTCATGAACAAGGAGAAAACAAACAACAATGAAGAAACAGTACTGGCCTTGGGACCAGCCCAGCACACCCTAGCACTATACTCCCAAGAAAAGTCCAGCATTGCCCTTTCATCTTCGAAGAGGATGAACCATGTGACCAACTAACTGTGGTCCAGGCATCGCAATGGACATTTCTATCTGTCATTCTGCCCCATTAACTGAACTCTAGCAGGTAGGATACTACTGGTTGCTGGATGAGGAAGATAAGGGTTAGAGAGGTTAACGCATTTGCTAAAGCCTCATGCTCATGCCATGTCTCAGGTGTGAAAATACAGACTCAAGCAGGTGTCTTCTAAGAGTTTGTAAAACCCTTGAGTTCCCTTTCCCTGGAAGCCAGATGCTGTTACACTCCAATGTGCATCACAGGGAGAAGTATAGTCACCCTGAATCCTGACCAGTCCAATTCCTTCAGTCTTTCCTGTAGAAAAGTCAAAAGGCAGCCCTAAGATAAATAACACGCTGGGTAGATCTCTGTTAGAGGCAAAACATTGTGTGGCCAGGCTGAATCCTCCTGTACCATGAGAGCCCGTGTCAGAGCTGGGATAGGACCAAGGAAAGGGGTTGGGGAAGAAGTGACACTTCTTATGCCTAGCAGATTTCTCTCCATTCATGGGGGGACAGTGGGAATTTCATGGTTTACAATGATTAATCTGAGATATTACCTTGTAACCTTGCAATATTGTGGGCAAGCTATATCTTGCCTATTATACTCTGTTCACTGAGTGAATTTTTGTTTTAGTTTTTGAATGTCCATCTCTCTGCAGTTTCTAAGCCACAGAAGGGACTTAATAACAGGCTGTAGGTGGCCTCTGAAGTCACCTTTTGAGTGTAGAATGACATGGGTTTTGCTGAGTCCAAGCTCCCCTTTCTTACTGATCATACTGATCATAAACCACACCTGACTCATCATCTTGTGATGACAAGATCTCATCCTTCATCTGGCATTTCTCCTTGTTGATACTGGAATCTGAGGGGTCACAAAGAACAAAGGGTGATTTGGACAGGAAACAGGAGGGTGGAGTATGGCCAGAGTCCTGACCAGAGATAGATAAGAGATTGGTCTTGTCCTTCCAGATCCACCTCCACTGGGCTGGGAGACCCTGTACAAGTCACTTCTTATTTCAAACTCAGGGTCTTGCTGCAGAATGAAGTAGATGCCACAGGCCATTCCCCAAGCTGCCTCCTAGTTCTATCATTCTCTGCACAGGCCTTTGGAGATGGAAAGGGCTCTAAAAATGCTTTAGAAATCCAAAGAACATTGGGTTTACCTTAAGCTCTATCTGATTTTTTCTTGATGTCTGGTGTGAATTGCTCTGAGACTGTATGTTGGAGTGGGGGACCCAGGAAGTCTGAAAAGGACAGAGACTACAGCTCAGATGAAAGGCACATAGATTATCCAAGAAGAGGAGAAACATTGGGAGTAAGGCAGTATCATACAGATTAAAAAGGAAAACTGCCTGACACTTTCTAGAGAGCACAGTAGAGAGGCATGTAGCATAAGAAGGCTCCTTCTGAGAATTCAAGTGAGGCTGATCCTTGGCAAGGAGGTGGGGAAGGGGGAGGTACTCTTGTGCTTAGTGTGGAAGGACCTTGGTGAACCTCCAAATTACTAATGTCTTTCTGAAGAGTTGAATACTCACTACTGTGAAAAATCACTAAGAAAAAAAAATCATCTTCTGACTCAAGAAAGGAAATCATCATGTTTAAGCCTTGGCTCTACCCAAAGAATTGCTTGGCCATTCTCATTGAATTCTGGTCTCATGCAGCGTTTTGCAGGCAGCATGCAGCTTCTCTCACTTTGGAAGAGCATTTGGTTTTGCGTCCTAGAGAACCAGGCCATTCAGGAATACATAGGAGCTAACACGGAACTAATAACATTGTCTCCGCTTTTCCTTCAGAGATAAACACCACATTACGTTCAACAGCTGTGATGGGGATAAGCCGTGAGCAATCCCTTTTCAAAGATTTATAGAGAACACAGAATGAGTCACAGAGATAGTCAACCCAACTCTACCATCTCCCAAATGAAAACTTTAGGGGTGCATCTGTCCAGATCCCTCATTTTATGGAGCCACATCCCCAGCAAGTGGCAGAGTCAGTTCCACAATCTCCACTTATTTGCTTAAAATGCAGATTCAGGATTCAAATCTCGGCTAGGGAGATGGCTCATGGGTAAAACACTTCCTGTGTAAGCATGAGGATGTGAATTCAGATTCCTAGGACCCATGTAAAGCCAGGCACAGTAGCATGCCATCTGTAATCCCAGTAGTCTACAGCAAGATGGGAGGCAGACATGAGAATCTCTGGAAGCTCGAAGAACAGCCGGCCTGGTATATTCAGTGGTGAACAAAGAGACAGTCTCAAACAAGGTGGAAGATGACCCACAACTAAGGCTGTCCTCTGACTTCCACCCACATGCCATATCACATGAATGCACACACATAAACATGTACACATGCACACACACATAATACACGATTTAAAATGAAATAAAAAGATACAAATCTAAGCAGCATTTGCCATCAGTCGTGTACCTTTCAGAAGATGAATGCACACTCCCCCAGAAGCAAACTCCAATAGGAAACCCAGACCCGCTTCTCACCTGCAAATTTGCACAAGGTGGTAAGACATGTGTGGGAATTTCATTCTCAGACCCTGATGGCCCCAGAGCCTTGTTCTTGACCCGGAAGGCTGTGGTGGTGGTGGCAGTGGTGGTCTGTACTGGGAGGGCGGGCTGCCACACAGTCACATCGGAGCCATTGCCAAAGGCTTGAATTGCATTTTCTGCAGTAAAACAGGAGGAAATCCAATTTTAAAATCAAACAGCAAATATAGCAGACGGGATACACACAGCCAGAGAGAGGCACGTGAGAAATCCTGGTTACAGCACTGGACTTTTCAGAGCAAAACCCATCCATCCATCTACCCTGCTGGTGCTGAGAACCAGTCTCTTTTGTCAAGTGCTCAAAAATCAATTCAGTCATTAACACTGAGCCGGACACTGACCATACTCCAAATGCAACAAATATTTATTCTGTTGCTATTGATGAGCCAAGTGCTGAGCAAGATCCCTGCCCTGAAACGCTCATCTGTCAGCCCTTAGAAACCTGTTCTCAAATTTTATAGTAGGATCACAGAGCTATGTCACTTTTTAAAGAAAACAAAAAACAAAAAAACCTATACTATGTTAAAATTCTATACTAAAAGAAAATTGATTTGAGTCTTTTTCTTTTTTTTATTTTTATTTCTTGGTCTTTTTGAGACAGGGTCTCCTTGTAGCCCCAGCTGGCCTGGAACTCTCTATGTAGACCAGGCTGGCCTTGAACTCACAGAGATCTGCCTGCCTCTGCCTCCCAAGTGCTGGGATTAAAGGCATGTGCCACCACACCTGGCCAAGTCTTTTTCTTTTACATATATCCCTAATCATGAAGCAGAGGCACCTCTAGTATTCACACTCTTTTGGAAGCAAAATGCAGCCAATTTCTTTAAAAGAAAAATCCATCCTAAACCACATTGATATCTTGTGAAAATTTAAGTGAGATTATTTTCCCCTTTCTGCTTCCAAACGAAATCTGCATAATTAGAAAGGAGCAGCCCTGTTTAAATGAAAAGTTTAAAATGTGAAACTTTCCAAAGCTTATTACAATTTCATGGGATTAGATTGTTTTTATGGCAAGAGTAAATTGATTGTATATTGTTCCCTCCCCCAAATGAATAAAAAACAGTTTTTAATCAGGTCTTCAGGGGTTTGGCCTGGATTTAAGAATTTTTTATTTCATATTCATTGTATAAGAAATCAAACTCTTTCATTTGGGACCTGAATGTGCAAACTACTAATATATGACTCTTAGTTGGCATTTTTGATACACAGGACAGAATAATTGAGACCTAATTTTTTCTTTAAGAAATGACATTTTGTTCCAAAATTGTTATACTTCAAGTTCAGCAAAATTGGAGGCTTGTTTTCTATGACTTTACATTTTGAGGGGGGTTCTGTAAGAGCCGGCTTCCAATTAATACAAATGCCTTTTTTATGCTTCTAGCAGACTCCATGGCTTACGTGGTACCCAGAATGTGGATAGGAGAAACCACAGACCAGGGTCCTTAAATGAGCTCAGAAAGAACAAAACCTCACGGCCTTTCTTTGTTAGACACAGAAACTCCAGACAGTTGTCACTTGTGATGACTACCAGTGCTTTCCCCAGTATGTGTACTCTGCCTGCTGCTGTGAGTTCAACTATTCACTTGCTCATTCATTCATTCATTCATTCATTAATTCATTCATTCATTCAAATGTTCATGGCTTACCTAATAAATGCCAAGCACCCCAGTATGTGTACTCTGCCTGCTGCTGTGAGTTCAACTATTCACTTGCTCGCTCATTCATTCATTCATTCAAATGTTCATGGCTTACCTAATAAATGCCAAGCGTGACTCCATGTACTAGACATGTGGCCTTGACAACAATGAAGCAAAATAAGACCAAAGCCCCCCACCCCATCCAGAACTTCCAACCAGGAAGGCAAATAAGCACAATTGATGATATAGAGATGGTGAGAAATTTTCCAAAGAAAATGAAGCAGGGCCAGAGAGATGGCTCAGTGGTTAAGAGCACTGGTTGCTCTTGTAGAGGATCTGGTTTCAATTCCCAGCATCCACATGGTGGCTAACAACTGTCTGTAACTCCAGTTCCAGTGGATCTGATGGCCTCTTCTGACTTCCGAGGGCATTGCATGACATGGGTGCACTTACATACATGCAGTCAATACATTCGTACACATAAAATAAAAATAATATTGTTTTAAAAAAGAAAATGAAGCAAAAGGAACACAAGTAGCCATAGGAAAAGGAAACATGTTTAGATAAAGTGGTTTAGGGAGGCTTCCAGGAGGAAGATGCTCCTACTTGAGTGATGTAGCTCCCGCCTCACTTCCCCCTCCTTCCTATTCTTCACCATTTCCTATACCTCTACCTGCTCTTCACTTGGCTTAAAATAACTATTTCCCGTTTCCAAACTAGAACCAAACAAATAGTTGCAGCTGCAGGGGAATTTGGGCGAAGTTTGGCTTCATCTGAACATAGTAGAATGAGGTTTCCACATACGAGTCACAATTAGCAAACTGTAATCTCTTCTGCTTCAATACTGTTTATAGGCACTGCATTTATAGCCCCGTGTCTTGGTGTTCTGCACCTCAACAAAGGAAGAATTAAATGGGATGATTGTGAAAACTTTTGGCTGGCTTTGGCATTTATTTTTGTTGAAAAGTCATTAGCAATAAGACTATTTGTTCCCCTACCAGAACGTTACCAAGGAAGAATAACTTTAATTTTTCTGCGAGGGAAAAGTTTTCTTTTACTTTATTTTTGATAAAACTTGCATCCATCTAGAGGAGTATAAGATGTGAAGAAAAAAAAAAAGAATGTATAAAGTCAAGACCAAAGAAGAGGTCCAAGTTGCAATGTGCTTGTCTGCCCAATGTCTTAGCAAATGTTTCCAATCTTTAAGGCTTGTGGGTTTGAACGCTGCCCAAGAATGCAAAAGATTGCCTTATTTTCAGGAGGCGCAGAACAATGAATTTCAGCCACATTATTTTAAATGCCTAGTAAGCAAGGTTTTAATGCCTAGTGAGTTAGGTTTTTCTATTCAACAAAGGAAATGATGAGGAAATTTTAGCAGAACACATGAGATGTTTTGTGGAGAGCTGGCAAATCACTAGCTAGTTCCTCAGCAATCAGTCAACATGTATATCATCATGTAGAACTTGTCACTTGAGGACAAAGCTCTTAGGGCCATGACTGAAATTTGATTCCCAGAAATTTGGTCCATGCCTGTCACCAGGAAGTCAGACCTGGTCCCTGATGTTCAGGATTAAACTCTTGTCCAACAGGTCTTTCAATACCAGGCATGAGCTAGGCCCTCAGGAGCCAGGGGACTATATGAGGACCCAGGCTTTGAATCTTAGCTCCACCACACAAAGGCTCTATCTATGTGAATACTAGTCTTTTGCTCAGCTGTCAGATGGATATAATGAGACCTATGTCTCCCAGGGTTCTTGCATGGAAGACAGAAAATGAGATCGTGTGAATATTATACTCCCTACAGTGAGTTGGAACATACAAGACCCTTCACAAGTGATGGCTGCCACCAAAGCGAGGGCCATTTTCAAGTGTCTCAGCTGGAGAGTCACCCAGGGCATGCCCACTGTGTGCTGGCAGCCTGCTTTTTAATTTTTTCTGATGGATGCCCGTGGTCCACAGCTGTAAATCCCTGTTGTTTTGTCAAACATGTTTCCAAATTGCCTAAAGTAACAACTAGTGTTGTTTCCAAGCAGGAACATTCTGCCCTTATGCAGTACGTATTTCACCTCTCAAGATAACCCACATCCTGAGTCTCCCTGCCAGGTTTCTACGTTAAGATTTGTTGCTTCTGCTCTGAGCCAGTCCTGAAAATCCAAGGGGGCTGTTGATGTTAACATCCTAATTTTTCCTGGAGACCCCTCAGAGGCCTGGTCCCATCTACTTCATCTGAGCTTCTAACACTACACATTCCTTCCAGGTTTCCGGAACTCAGGAATGGAGTCCTGCCACTGGCTGCCTAGATCAAAATTTACCTGTGGGTAGAAATGTTCTTTCCCACATAAAGTACCCTTCCTTCACTGAATCTCTTCTTCTTCTAAGCCTTTGGGATCACAGCCATTTTGTTTTTTGATTTGTTTTGTTTTTTATTTCCCTGTAGCCCTAGCTGGCCTGGAACTTACTATGTAGACCAGGCTGGTCTTGATCTCATAGAGATCTGCCTGCCTCTGCCTCTTGAGTTCTGGGATTAAAAGTATGTACCACCATGTCCACCCAGGATGTCTCGGCAGCACCCAGTTCATCACTTATATGGTTCCCTGTTGTGTCACTCGGCCTGCCAAAAGGAGTAGGGTCACCACCAGCATCAGGAAAAGGGCGTGAAGAAGAGACAGAGGAGAGGGAGAAGGGGAGAGAGGGAACACATCAAGAGGCAGAGCTTTAGCTCAGAAAGGAAAACATGTATGAGTTGGCATGCTGCTTGTTTTTTTAAAAACCTACTGAGACATGTATTGTCTTTGAAGAAACTGAGAAATTTCAAGCACTCCTCTAGGTCATTCCCACTGTTGCTGCAGTCACACCACGGGGCCACGCTGAGGCTGCTGGAGTCTATGTAGTTGGGGGTCATGACTGTGCCTAGAAGAAAGAGAGAAGGAAAAACACAAGGCATGTAATCCCCCTGTGATGATACAGACTTTCTGTAGCCTAAAAAGAAACACATGTTGGTCTGATGGTGAAAATGCTATGGCTAATTACAAAGTCTGTGTTTGCCGGGTGGGAAATTATGTTAAGCAGTACATTTTCTTGGCAATTTATCTTGAGCACATAAAATAATTTACACATTTACTTTAAAAATTTTAAGTGAACTCCTTGGGCTGCATTTAGGGTATTTTCTTCCTGCACAAATGGTGTGGATGTCACTGAATAAAGAGAATTAACTTAGAATGCATGTGTTGCCAAATCCCTTGCATATTCTTGAGAGCGCCATTAATCTTCATGAATAGAGTACTGGGTGCACATATCCTAAACATTCTTTTAAGACTTTTAATTCAGTTTTCTCAGAAGCAAGTGACTTTCCTTTTATGTTTTATTTATTTTTATTTTATGTGTATAAGTGTTCTGTCTACATGCATGTAAGTACACCCGTGTTGTGCAATGCCCAAGGAGTCCAGAGGAGAGTATCAGGCCCCTTGCAATTGGAGTTACAGATGGTTGTTAGCCACCATGCGGGTGCTTGGAACCCAACCCCAGTCCTCTGCAAGAGCAGTCTAAACTACTGAGCCATCTCTCCAGCCCTGCAAATGGCTTCTTTAGGGTAACACAAGGAAGCATAGAGCCCCTCCAATATGTTCCCCATATCTTAAATGCCTAAAAATGTAGATAACAAATCTCCTATTCAGATTCTCAACTGATTAAAGTCTTCTAACCATGAAAGAAATGGAAACAGAGCTGGGGATAGCTCAGCTGGCAGAGTGCTTGTCTAGCGTGCACAAATACCCCAAAACCACATAGGCCAGCATGGTGCTACATACCTGTCATCTCAGTACTTAGTAGAGACAGGAGGATCAGGAGTTCAAGGCCATCAAGCTATGTCTGAGGCCAGCCTGGGCCACATGTGACCCCGTCAAAAAAAAAGAGAGGGGAAAAACAAAGAAAGGGAGGAGAGGGAAGGGACAGAGGAAGGGGGAGTCCTCTGAGCCTAGGGTTCCTGAAGTACAGTCTGTGGACCCTCAACAGTCCTCAAAGTGATGCTGGGTGCGCCTTCCTGCTTACAACTGTGGTTTTTCTGGTGAGTTTTCCATGGGTACAAATACACAATCCATTTATACTTAATATAATCCAAATGTCTTCTCCCGGGTGGCTCACTCCAAGCAATGCCCATGAACGCCAAGAACTTTCTGTTTTTAGTTACTTTTATGGAAGGAAAAAGAAATAGGTGGTCAGTAATCCAGAGGATGGGTTTGGCTCAAAAAAAGGAAAATTAATTTTTGGATGCTCTTCTGGGTCAAGGGCATGTTGTCAATGCTCTCCATTCCTTACTAACTTGGGACTTATTATTTAGCATGGGAATGTTAACCTGCAGCATACAGGGAGGTTTAACTCAGCCGAGACAGGAACAGGCACTAGAAACACTGAAGAGGCTAAAGCCATCATACTTCCAGTACCACAGTGGACCCCTGACGTAGGGGAGCGGGGAACAAGGTTTGTACAGAAGAAACGAAGAAGTCAGGATACACTGACTCAGGAATCTGCGCAGAGGGAGCGCTCCAGACCCAGGAGAGAAATAAATCTTGTCCTGTAGAATGTGTTGCCTCTACCATTTCCCTCCATTTCACCTTCTTCAGGCACATATGGGTTTGCCAAACCTAGGGATGATCTCACAGAGTGTTGGTAGCACCTCGACTTGCTTGGCCACTGATGGGTGAGTTAATGAGTGTGACCTCCTAGAAGGACACAGGCTGAGGCACTAAAGGTGATTGCATCTGGGAGTGAGATTACATCTGCAGAAACTTAACGTTGTCTTCTGGGAGCTTCCCCGGATTTATTTTTCCTTTTAAACAATGAGTATGCCCTAATTACTTTTGTTATTTCTGCAATTCCATCACTTCATATGTGATCGCTAGTAGAGACGCATAACTGTTAAGGAGGTGTGAATGCAGTTCTGGAGTTCTAAAGGAGATGCACACACACTGGCTAAATCCATAGAAATGGTACATAGCTGGAGGAATCATGACAGTATTATTAAAGGTGTTACTCATGGGAGCACATGTGTCCTTTCAAAAAGCTGGGCTATTAAAACCAGAAATAGCCTTGTGTTAAACACTGTCGCTTATTTTCCTAAAGACTCTTGCTGAAGACACTCTGGTGACAAGTTTAGTCTGTGCTGTCATTCTGGGTAGGAGGTCCTTCCTGCTGGTGATATATGCAACCCTGACACGTGCCCTGGGAGAGGGGGGTGAGGTGCCACTGAGCCATCACTCTATGACAACTGTGCTCTTGCTTACCTTCCACAGCCTTCTCAAATGCCCACTGCAATGGAGCCCTGACAGTGAGGCTCTGCTGTCCCTGATACGTGGGGACACCTACCTTTCCCCTACCTGCTCTATTTACCCCAGACGTAAGTCTGCCTCCTTCTGGATCTTTTTCTATACGTGGGAGTCTTGTTTAATTGCACCGTTCTCTTGAATTCTGAGAATGTAGCTCTCTTAATGCCACAGGATGTCAAAAACAAAAATACTGTTTCTGCTATTAAATAGTTATTTGCCGGGGGGAAAGAGAATTAACTGACGTCATTCCCTACACACCAGGAGTCAAATGACCAAGTACGATAATGGCAAGAATCACCCCAGTATCAGGGAGTGTGTGTGTGTGTGTGTGTGTGTGTGGTGGCGGGGGGGGGTTCACTTCCAAAGGGCACTTCTGGGAAACAGCTTCTTTATTTCTTCTGATGGAATGACTTCCAAGGTCCTTCTCTCCAAAGCTCCCTAATTCAATTAACTGTGTTTGGCTTGCTCTCCTTCTTCTAATAACCGCACTTTTCCTTGCCTTTGTTCTGCGTGGCCAGTTCCCCAGTGGAGATGCTTCATTTCCTTTGGAACTTGCCACCTTCCTGCTTCCTAATAACCCTGTTTCTGTATCCTTTATTCTGGTTTCTTTTCTTTCTCTTTATTTTTCTTTCTCTCTCTCTCTCTCTCTCTCTCTCTCTCTCTCTCTCTCTCTCAATAAGCAGGTCCTAAAGGGCCTATCTTCAAAACCCTAGCATAAACTATTGGGAGATTTTCACTTGGGCAGACACAGGCAGGCTACAGTGGAAAGAGTACGGGTATTTGTAAGGCAGATTCTTCTCCCATCCCACTGCCCCCAGCTTACCAATCAACCCCGAGTAAGCCAGGAGGCAGTCTGCGTAGTTCTCCTTAAGACAGCTGCTGACAGACCTGGACTCTGGCTGGCAGTTGGTAAAAAAATCTGCGAGGCGAGATCTGCAAGAAGAAAGAAAAACATGCTGAAAACGTCTCAGGCCTCCGAGCTGGGAGAAGAGGTCCCTGAGGGAGGCTGGGAAACTGGTACAGGTGTGCAGCCAGGTAGGAGTCATACCTGCTCATGTTTTATGACACAGGAGGGCAGCTGTGGCAGATAAACAGTGATTTTGTTTCAAAACACTATCTAGAGGGGATGGAGAGATGGGTCAGCAGTTAAGAGCACTGGTTGCTCTTGCAGAGGTCCTGGGTTTGGTTCCCAGCACTCACACGGCAGCTAACAACCATTCATAACTCCAGTTCCAGAAGATCTGACGCCTTCTTCTGGCCTCTGCAGGCACTGCATGACATGGGTGCACTTGCATATATGCAGGCAATACACTCATACACATAAAGCATATAACAACAGTCACAACAACAAAACCCACCAGTAAGTAGAGAGGATTTTGGATGTTCACAGTATAAGGATATGATATGTATTTAAGTAAGGAATATGCCAATTAACTATCTGACCATTACATACTGCATATGTATATATATAGAAATGTCATACCATATCCCATAAATATGTGTTCACGACAAATATAAAATATATATGAAGAAAAAAATCTTGTCTCTAGACAGACAAGTGTAATACGCTTGTTGATATACCTCTTCCTCTCTCTCTCTCTCTCTCTCTCTCTCTCTTTCTCTCACAAGGAGAAAACATGAACTAGTAAAATGTTGACATCTTTCCTGATACAACCTTCCAACTGCCCCTCCCCCAGCTCTCATCCACTGGCGTGTGTCTGCTTATTTGGACAGAAGTCTTCAGGGTTTATAACTGGAGAAATCTAGAGGCTTTGAAGTTTCCATTCAATATTTATTTCTGACTAGACTTATTTGCATCTTTAGGAAATATGCTTCTCTACATGCTCACCGGAGATCCACAGTGGGAAAATATTTACTTTATACAGAAACATGTTCCTGGCATCAAAATAGGAGCCTACAGCCCATCTGCTCCCATAATTCCTAGTGCCTTGAAGAATGCACATCTCTGTCTCCTGAGTCCCCTCTCATCCATCTCCCAGCCCTGGCATAGTGATGTCCCCTAGCCCTACGACACTGAGTAGCTGGCTTTTCAGTGAGTGAAGGGAAAGGCAAGAGGGAGTAGGTGAGGCTCATTGTGGGCACGGCAGGCCTGTGGTTAGATGCTCTGATTATAGGGTTCATTGGTCAGAGTGCAGCTCTCAGCACTTCTAGAACTCTCCAGGGGCAGAGAGTTTACCCAGAAACCCTGAGTGGTGGTAAAGTTGTAGAGACCCAGAAGTGAAGGGAAGGAAGCCTGGCACAAAGAGGTCTCTTTGTGGTCAGTGGACTGTGTAGGCTCTTGCTGGAAAAACTGTGAATAAGAAGTAGCCCCCTGCTGAGGTCATCTCAGCAGACAGCAACCTCTTTCTAAGGTGGAACACAATCAACTTGGAGATGTAAGTTAGCCAGGAATTGCAGGACACCACAGGAGACTGTCTCAGTTTTTCTCTCTTGAACTCACCTGGGTGAGCTGCTGGCATAGCTGGTGTTGATTTTACTTCTTCCCACGAGATAAATGCAACTTGTTTAGCTTGATCTATGATACCAGCAAGCCTGGGTTGGTTGGGCTGAATGGGACAGGACTGTGGGAATTAAAGGTTTGTAAAGGCTGCAGGAAGCACATGATATATCCTTTTCCTATAATTTTTTTCTTCTTCTTCTAGGTTTTTTTTTTTTTTTTAAGTGTGGTGGTGGTGTTTTGTTGTTGTTGTTGTTTTGGAGATAAGCACTTGTTATATAGTCCAGGCTGTCTTAGAATTTGTGATCCCTCTGTCTCAACTTCCTGGGTGTTAGGATTACAGGCATGGGCTACCACACCTAGCGTCTTTCCTACCATTTTAAGTAGAAGAGGCATTCAAAGGCATGGCCAGCGTTGAAGCTCACAGTGCACAGCATGGTGTTCATGGTCTTCCCATGATTCTTTGCTGGGACCCTAATGAACAGGCATGCTGAGCCTCCCTGTCTGTGCTGATCTTGGGATTTCTGTGTGTTCCAGGTACATGTCTCATCACAGTAATGAGTCCTGGGGATTGGTGCTAGAAGTCTATTTTATTTCCTTTGTACAATACTAACACTCCTTGGAAACACTTTTATAACACTTCTAGAGCAGTGACATGTACTAAGCTAAGTGGGTCTCAAATGACACCCCCTCCTTGAGCCTGTATGTGTGCCTGGATCACAACCACAGCTGAGGCCCCACTGGTGTTCTTTACCCTTTACTGAATGCACTGAATGACATAAGACCTGGTTATTTCTGTTATTTGGTGAAAGGATTTTTTTTTTTCAGGAAATCCCTAAAGGTGTCTCAGGCTTACTCAACTGCCTGGATGGAGTGTTAATTTCAAAAGAATTTTCCTGGTCATGAAAGTTAATGATCTAGTGGCACTAGGTTTCTAACTCTGCAATGCTAACTGCAACCCAGGCAGCTGGGGCTCCCACTCTGCCTACAACTTGGCCAGTGGTACTTGAACAGCTTCCTGACCTGGTGGCCCCTCCTGCCCCACCTGCTCCACAGATGCATCTCCTGCTTCTCAGGCACACAATTAACGAAATGACAATGTGACGTGGATTGCTCTCCTTCTGCATGGGCTAATGCCACTAGACTCATTTTGCTTAACAACCTCAGAATTGACTCACAATTGGGCTCTGGAATGAAAGGCTAATTGAGTCAGTCTGTTGCAGAAAGCATAAGCCTGATCAGGAGGTTAAAACGAAATATACTGCTCTGAGCAGAACGCTGGAGGGTTGTGTTTTAAGAGGAGATTGTGGGTGTAGATCCTAGTCCTAAAACCAGCAAGGCTGTAGCAGGAGATTTGGAATGGGAGAAAGCAACAGCAAGACTGGCATGAAAGAAGTCAGTCTGTAGGGGAAGACTGGAAGCCCTTCCTTGCCCTGGCATCATCTAATGAACAGAGCATGTGCAAAAAAAAAAAAAAAAATACAAACAGCTTTGTGTGTGTGTGCGTGTGCACACTCCTGTATACTATAAAAGACTATAAGTTCCATGACAGTATGCTTTTGGGGTTCTTTCTTCTTGGCTCACTTCCATTCTTGGGAGTACTTTTTCCTTTCTTAATAAGCTATTTCTTTTCCATGAGCTATTTCATTTTCTTAATAACATATTTTATTTCCTCCATCTTTCCTCCTGGTGGATGCCAAGATTTTCTCCCAACCTGTGCTGTTTTCTCTTAAATTCTAATGCAATGGTCCTCAAGCCTCCTGAGTCTGTTTCTAAACTCTATTAATGAGACTAAGAACCCCAAAAGGAAACCTCAGTTTCCCTGGTAACAATGCCAGTGCATGGGAGGAGAGTTTCAGACTGAGTGAGCACAGGGCACTGTTATAGCACGCACGTTTCCACAGTTCTACCAGATTTGGCTCCCCGCTATTCACACTTGGAGACAAGGTGATCCCATGATAGAAGTCCCACTTTACAGGAGGGAAAATTAAAATAAGCATTCTATACAGTAATGTGCTGGAGTCAGATCATTATGGGCAGGAGGGGCAATTCTGAGGGACTGTGAGAACTGGTTGACATCACAGTCGTAACTCAAAAGCACTACAGCAGGATCATTTAGCCCATAGTAATGAGCAAATGCTACAAAGGTTATTCTCGGATGATAAACTAGTGCAACCCTGCTAAATGCTGTGATACAGTCAGTCCCATAGATGATGCCTGGGTTACATCTTGGCAGTCGAATCCTGGCACTTCTGGGCTAGGCTTCCACTCCTGTTTCTCTGGTGCCAAATGAAATGGTGTGGCACCTGCTAACCTTCACTACTTTCCAAAGACAGACAAGAATTATTCCCTTACACCATCTTCTCTCTCTCCGTCACACATATTGACGGTGTTGTATACAAAGGGTCACACGTATTGGCAAAGCAGATTCACTGTGTTCTATCTCAGTGACTGAATCCTGTGTCAGTGCTTTCGATATGATGATTAGAAAGATCTTGTCCTTAAATTTCACCAACCTTGCATCCAGATGCTGAAAGGAACATGTAAAAGGATCATGATAGTACCTTGGCTAATTTGGTCTTGTTTTATTCTCGACAGGGTCTTGTGTTGCCCAGGCTGGTCTCAAACTGGTATGTAGCTAAGGATGACCTGGAACTCCTGATCCTCCTGTTAATACCATCTAAGTGCTGGAATTACAGGTCCTGGTCACCACACTGAGAAAGGCTGTTCAGAAAAGTAAGCCTAAACACAAATGAAGGATTTACTAGATATTAGACCTGATTCCCTAGTAATCTATTTTTTTCCTGACAACTCAAATGAGGTAGGTATTTTATTTTGGTGTTATTGTAAGTTTTGGCTTTATTTTTAATATTTTACCTAGCACACAAAGTAATAGGCTTCCTTGTGGCATTTTCATAAATACTTGGGGTTAATCTCCCCACACACTACTCCCTCCGTTGTCTCCCCACCTCCCATCTTGTACCCTTATCCTAATTTCATTTTTAACATATTTTATTTTTAGAAAGATATTTTATGTGTATGAGTGTAATTCCTGCATATATGTAAGTGCACTGTGTCATGCAGTGCCCATGGAGGTCAGTAGAGAACATCAAATTCCCCTGGAACTGGAGTTACAGATGGTTGTTAGTCACTGTGTGGGTGCTGGGAATTGAACCTGAGTCCTCTGCAAGAGCAACCAGTGCTCTTAACTGCCAAGCCATCTCTCCAGCCCCCCTTTTCTTAAATTTTATATTCAAGGAAAACAAGTCTTCTTTCTAGAGGAAAATGGGAACAGAATTGTATTTAAAATCACACTCCACTGCAAATGGTGTTTCAGAGAAGCCACGCTGTAGGGACGGAGAGAGGAAAGTGGGGCACATCTGGCAGACAAGGGCGAAAGAGGGTGTTGTAGGCAGAAGGGAGCATCATATTATCACATTCATCAAGATCCCAGGGTAATAACTGTGGTGGGTTT